ACGCAAGCTTCAGACGAAGAAGTGAATGACATGTTCTCCCGGCGCCTATTTATACTATAGTCGCACCGGTAGTGACATCATGGGCTGTCGCCGGCCAACATGTTGTTAGTGTTTTTTGAATGTATGCTTCAGACACGGGTCACAACGAGGCGTTCCCCATAGCGACCCCTAGAGGACGCAGTGTCTCGTTCCCTACTCAGGGAACCATGGTTACATAAGTAACCTGAGACGTTTTGTAAATATAACCTGAACATATTTTTATAATAAATGTTTTTTTGTCCATAAAAATATGACTTATTTTATATTTATTGTGTGATTATTAGTGTGTATACATATATAGACCATTGTTATGGGGTTACATAAGCATTACAACCTGCAAATGAACCAAATTTAGATGTTCTCTACATTTTTTCAGACAGTGAGTAAAATTCTGTTACCCAAGAGCCCAACGTTGCAATATTTACGTTTACGTTAACATTTCCCTAAAAAAATGACTAAAATGTAAAAAATGTACAAGCCCATTTATTTCTGCATTAGAGGCCTCCTACAACATTTAAAAGGTGAAATAATTTTTTCACAGTTTTTTTTTCTATAGGCTATTTGGGTTTCAGGGTTTTAAGAGAATGGATCAGAAATGTTAGAATCAAGTCATTACCACACTAATCTGCACTAAAAATGGACCAAGATTACTGTGATATTTTTGAGAAATTATGAGGGATTTTAACTACTTTTAAAAGCTTTAGTTGTAAACACTTAGAGTATAAATCAGCCTTAAGCAGCGCGTATTTTTTTCAGCGCGCATGTTAACAGATTAGAGCATTCACACCACACGCACCTGAAAAGCGTGACCGAATGAACAATACTCGTCTGTATTTGCAGTACACAAGCCGCGGTTCAGCTACGCGACAAACGCTGCCAGTGTGAAAGCACAATGGGCGCGCGCTGCATACGCGCCGCTTCTGCGCTGCCTCTGCTCTGCTTACGCGTGTGGTGTGAAACGGGCGTCAGCGTAGACTTGTGCACGAATAACAGCGCACATGCAATGCGCATGCAACGCAAGTAGGTAGTAAACAAAAGTCGCTGCATGTCGCCAGGGGCTGGCCATGAGGTTGCTAGTGGGCGTTCTCAATACTGGTTGCCTTGACAGCGAATCAGGTTTCTTGCTGCTAAGTACAAACATTTTGGAGGCAAAAGACTAAATATAATCTAAATCTAAATTAAATCCGTACATACAAACAAAAATGAATGAGAAACAGAGCCTACTTTCTTCCATTGCGTATGTTTATCTATGGCGCTGAGAGGAGCTCTACTGTCGTCTTTCCTATTGGCTGTCGCTCCCGAAAGTCGCTCTTCATTTGCATAAAGTTGAAGGATTCTGAACTTTGTCGAGTCACTGGACACGCCCCATCCGGTCGCCAACGGCCGCTGTCGCTCGTGTCGCCGGAAATCGCCAGCTCTCCATTGAAATGAATGGGATTGTGTCGCTTTGCTGTTGCGTGTCGCTTGTAGTGTGAACGGGGCTTTTACAGCCAATGCGGTACGCTTTGAAAGACTTGCGCGCTCAAGTCGAAGTACTAAACGAAGTAGTAAACGAAATATACCTGGGCATTTATCTTAATTTAATATACTTGCAGTTTACGAAGTAGTAAGAGTAGATGTGCAGTGATAAACAGATTATTGGTATGATCTTTGGCCCTCAAGCGGAAAAACAGACAGACAAACAGATAGATAGATAGATAGATAGATAGTGTAGTATTTACTTGCCTGAATTGGAAAGTCATGTTGGTAATCTTCATCTTAATCTCTTCCCTGTGTCGCTGTTCGCCAGTTAATTCATAAAGTTGCTTAGCCATTGTCTCGTAGATCTTAGCATTGCGCTTAGCCTTCTTTAGCTCTGTCACATACTCTTCCCAAATGTACACAAGAGCTTTCATCTCAGAATCCGTCCAGTTACGAGCCCTCCTGTGCTTCTCGTTCGAGCCCGGCACTGTGTAACTAAAGCAGAGGTCCTCAGAGGCCATTTTAAGAACAGATTATGTACCTTTCGCTCGGGTTTATGATTTAAGCTCGGTTCTTTCTCAGTGCAGTCTGTTTTCCTGGCCTTACTTTGCTTTCTCAAGCATGTGCTTGTGTGTGCGAGAGACAGGCCTCTGCTGCCCTTCCCCCCATACTTAGTTAAGAGGCCTCAAAATGGAACCTGGAGGGCTGGAGCAATCGCTTTAAAAGCTTTTAAAGAGGGAAGTTCGTCAGCATGATGTCAAGTTACCCTGGCAACAGCCCATTAAGGCCCTCCTCTTCTAGCCAAACCCTTCCCCTTCTCCTCTACTCTTTTGTCTCTGTCAGTCTGCAGCAAAAAGCTTTTAGCTGAAAGCCAACAAAGTGGGTCGGAAGAAAATCTGCATGTGAAATATGACTCCTCTGGGGACCGAAAGCGGTAGAGTGTGTTGTTGCCTAGGCAACCGGTCTCTCTCCAGGCCACTTAGTCCCAGCGTTTACGAGCTTAAAAGCTTTTAATAGAGAAGGGGCTAGAGGGACATTGCAGAGAAAGTGCATTTGCACTTGATATAACGCCTTTAAAACTACAAGAAAATTGAGAAAGAAAATGAGGTTGTTTTGGTGTCAGATCCAAAAATGAGCAGTCAGGCCGATTTTGCATTAAACTCGGTCTAAAAAGGTTTTGGAAACGCGCACCTTAATTTTGCAGGCATGTTGCGGCACGAAACTTGTTTAGGTTAGTGTAATTACCCCTCTGGCCCTGAGCCCTTACCACAGTACATTTGCCCTCAAACACTTCCTCGACTCTGACCGCACCCCGAGTGTTTCAGATTACTAGATCTTCTAGCACAGCTACAGGGGGTCTCGGACAGGACTTTGGGGGTAGTGATTTGGGGGGCAGGGTTATATTTTGACAGATTACCAGCTGAGATGACACACGGTGCATGTGCTTCTTTATGGCTAACTCGGTGTTAACCGCATTATATGCTTCGCCCATCTGTCTAGAGACACATCACCTTCACATCAACTTCACTCTGTTAAAAGACATTTGGAGACATTCCAGACTGACATGAGCACAGATATACATTACGGGGAAGGACAGCTTGGCTTCATAATCATTACACCACGTTACACCAATTAATATATCAATTAATATATTACTATCTATCTATGCTGGAGCCAGATTTACATCAAACCCTATCTAGATAGATAGATAGATAGAGATAGAGAGATTAAAGATAAAATTATATATATAATATACACATATACACACATGCATATTTTGAGATTCATACCACCAAGCCCTTTGCTCTTTGAATTTGTTCAGGGTTATGTAACACGTATAACATAAAAGCATTAATTAACAAGCTGGATCATCTGCCTGTAGAGGAAATGCCCTGGTCTTAGGGGGGACCAGATGGTCTGTTCATTTTGTGTCATGATAAAATTTTAATTCAGAGTGAGAGTGAGAGCGAGAGAGAGGGCAGCCCATCCTATTGCCATCTTGACAGTCTTGTGCTGATTTTGGGCCATTTTGAGAATATTGTAGTAAAATGGCTGTCTACCAACAGCCTTGTAAAGTAATAATGCTTTTTTTGGGGGGCACATTTTGTGAAACTATTATGTAAAATAATTGTTTAATATTTACAGCATGGTGCATACTAAAATGCTATAATTAAATTGTGTTATAAATTGGTACTTTTATCACTCATAGGCCATAGAGTGAGTGTGGATCCTGCCTATTGGTTATTTTAGTTGAACATCGCCCCCTACTGAGTCAAATATTTAGTGCCTGACTGACATAAGTAAACTATGCAAAAAGGGCCACATTTTTAACCTGAGAGAAAAAAAAAGAATCAAGTTTAAACTGCGAAGAAAATGAATCCAAACCAGCATTTCCTTGTTTTGAGTGCCTTTAATATTTATTCAGTATTCCAGCAGCTATGTAATATGCAAGAGTTGTTTTGTACATTTTATATTATACAGCAACATTAGTTCTCCTAGCTCCGTTCTCCGTCTTCACAGTTTTCGTCCTGGCAGCCTGCCATTTTCACTGTTGTCTCCATAGCAACTATCATGAGGAACGTGGCTGGTCAATAAATCAAATCATACAAGTGCGATAAAAGAAATGTTAAAAACTTCACAGTGGGGAAAAAAACTAATAGCTTATAAGAAAAAGTTAAATCAATGAAAAGTATATTATAAAAAAAATGATACAAGAAAAAGAAATACTCATTTACTTCCACAACATGCTTCTGGATGCAGGGGAAAATAATTGTGTACATAAAACACATACATACAGCACATCAACTATAAATGTAAGCTTACACATTTGCATGTACATACATGCAGACGTTTCGTCAACAGCTTTGTAAACAGGTCCACCACAGACCTACCGAGAACCGACCAGAAAGGCAACCGGAGATAGTTTGTCCACAGGATACAACTACAACGGACTTAACAGGGTAGGTTAGTTGCTCTTCATAACCATTTAAAAGGCCCACACCACCTTCAACTTAGGAGAATCTAAACCTTGATGGTTCCTAAACTGGTGATAAAAAAACCACACTATTATTGAGCTTGGCTCAGTTTGCGCACAGGCCCTGTTTG